TGCCACTAAAAGTAACCAAGGCCCTGTGGAGAATGGCTTATTCCCCAACTGGGAAGGGCATCAGATGGAGCTCCAGGCTCATGATTATGCCAGAGTAACGAAGGTTCAAAAAAAAAAAAAAATGGGGCCATGTTGCCCTGACGCAAGCAGCAGCCGGAAGGGGGTCTCATTGCACAAACTGAGTACAACGTGAGCACCCAAACAATTAAGTACAGGGATGAAATAAAAACCAATGAGGGATTCATGAATACGTACGGATAATAAATAGGGGCAAAAGGAAGGCTCTTACAGTAACATGTCCAGGGCCAAATGGTAAAGGTGGAGAGTGCGGGATTTAGGAAAAGCATTCTGTAGCCATCATGGTATGCATTCGATCAGGAATCATTAATGGATACTAAACCTAGAGGGGTATCTTGATGAGGAGCAGGATATTTGCCGGGCCTTAAAAACTATCTCCCCACAAAACTGTTAGACAGTAGAGACAATGTGCAGCATCTTGAACAAGTGACTGAATTGAACATCACCAATGAGGGGCAGATGGACACGGTGCGCCTCCAGAGAGGATCTTCGGAGGACGCAACATCGTGAATCCGGAGTTCCATACTGGATATAAATTATGCCTCAATATACTTTATTTGAAAATGTACAAAGGGTAAAAGTCCATGGTTTGAGAAAGCTCTGTATTAGTTTAAAGACAAAAGGAATAGCGTCTTGAGCTGTCTTGAGGGACTGCTGTGTCATGGAAAAAAAGCACACTACCTAGTAAGGTTGGTTTACTCCAGCCAGAATGGACAGAAGCCACAGATTTTAAAAAAAAATCACAGTCCCCCATTCTGAAGCACATTATGGTACCAAAAAATGAAGTTTTACATTAACATCTATTTTGTAGTGAACACAATATTCACACAAAGGGCTAAGACAAAACAAAAAAACTCAAAGAAATCTTGCCTCAAAGGACCCCTTCCTATCATCCCAGAGCTTCAGAACACCACTTACTGTTCTCAGAAGTTTCTCTTGGTAGATGGGAAGAAGTTTGTGTGCGTCCAACACGAGCCCACACGTGGACGGCCATCAGCACCCTAACCTCCCCGTTTCTTAAGGGCCAACTCAGATGATCCCTCCAGAGGATTCCCCTTCATGCACTGCCTTCTCTAGTAAGCACTTAGGACCATCCTCCTCCTAAATTACTTTTCATGAACAAACACCTCCAATTTAGCACTTCATTTACAAATGATCTGATACCGAGCAGTGCCTGGCACTTGGGAGAATGTTGGATTGAAGCAAGGGAAGAGTAAAGGAACGTGGGCATACTTTACCATTTCACTCCTTTTCCTCTTCAGAGCCAGAAAATTGTCACTTTCTATGAAGAAGACCACCCTCATTTTTTTTTTTTTAAGATTTATTTGACAGAGAGAAACAGCGAGAGAGGAAACACAAACAGGGGGAGTGGGAGAGGGAGAAGCCGACTCCCCGCCAAAGCAGGGAGCCTGACGCGGGGCTGGATCCCAGGACCCTGGGATCATGACCTGAGCCAAAGGCAGACGTTTAACGACTGAGCCACCCAGGTGCCCTGCTAGGCTACTTTCTCTAATAGACTTCCAGCTTAGAACATAATTAGTCTCCAAATGAGATTGTTATAACCAATGCAGTAAGATTTTAGGGGACTCAGATTTTTACCTATTTTGGTGTAAGTAGGGAGACTGAAATTAGCTTACAGCTCAGAAAATAAGGGAAACTGAAAGCAAAACATTACTGTTAGAGCACTACCAGGGCATTTTAGACAAACTACTATGCAACCTGCAACTGATCAACTAAAATAAAAAGTAACACCTCATTGGTGGCTAAAAATGCTCAAAAATGGAGTGAAGATAGCTAACACTTAACACTACCAGACACACCCAAGAGAAGCTAGTCTGTGGCAAAAAAAAAAAAAAAAAAAACAAAAAACGTACAGCTAGGGTTTGAACCCAGGCAGTCTGGCCTCAGAGCTTACATTTTTAATCCCTATGCCAGCAAAGTTAAATACCAATTCCCCAGTATACATTCCTTCCAGACAGTTCCAACATGAGGTCTGCATCCAAAATTAAGCCATCAGTTTCTGGAAACAATCTATTAACACTTCACTAAGCCTCATTTAATATTAAAAATAAAAGATCCCATTTCTCCCCCCACCCCACTTAATTGCTTTTGTCCACTTTCTTCCTGCACTGAATGGTACTCATCAGGGTTCTTTGCAGAACTACTTTCAGTCCTACTTTTATCTGAGGAACTGATAAGGAATGTCTTTCTACCAAATTCAATCATCTTCTCTATCCCCCCCCCCATCTCCTTCAGCTGAAAGCATCACATTGACCTCTTGCAATTACTAACCCAAACCAGATAGCAGCTTTTATTTTTCCCTGTGGACACTGACCTATGCTTTTATTAAGTGTAAACAGGATACTGCTCTACTGAATGCACTTCAGAAACCTCCTCAAATCATTTTGTTGCCAAAGCATGCTTCCTTGTGAAAGGGTTGGTGGCTTTTCGGGTCATTCCACACTCCACACAGGATCCTCAACTCCCATTCACCAAGTGCAGTTTTCACCTGAGGCATCTGGACAGTGGTTTATCTAATTCACCCATTATAGAGACTCAGGTGAATTCTGCACTCAAACTGCACAACTTGGGACAAAACAGCATACACCACGTCCTGATTCCTCTATCTTTGAAGTCACTGCCTCCTCCTTTATCTTGGGGAGAACTGGAAGTGTGCCCTGCTCCCTGAGAGAGGGAAAGAAACCCAAAGTTCTTAAGTCCTTCCTTGGGGTTCCTGACAGATGTATGTGGCTCGGCAACTGTTTCTAGTGGTTTTTAAGTAACTAGCACTGAGCCAGTAGGCTGGTCACAGCTGGGCACAGTGAAAATGGGGATCTTGGGAGATGAGGCAGTGCCTGGAGGATGCAGGGAAAGGGTTGGGGCAAAGGCCAGGGGGAGGCAAAGAAGATATTCTAGTCACCAGTATTAAACCTGACCTCCAGGGCAAACAACTTACCTTACAAACATTTCTCCCCTACTTAGAGTGTAAATGCAAGCATTTTTACTCCAGAACAACAGGCTTGTTCACCAGTGTGGGATGACTCAGTGTACAATCAGCATTTGTCAAGTTCCTGGTGTATTCCAGACACTGTACTTCATACACTGGCACAAATCCTCATACTTCACCATGAAAGAAGGGACAGACTTCCCTTGAAAAGACAAAGTATGCCACCAAAGCTAGGCCCGCCCCTATCATTTGTGGGGCCTGGGGCAAGAGGACAAATGGAGGCCCAACGTAATTACTTTAAGGAGCTCATCAAGCTAGCCAACTGTCACATAATCCTCCTCCCTTGACAAATGTAGCTTTCTAACAACCTGGAAAGCCAGGTACAATTTAGAGTTCGCAGACCCCTGGGCGGGGGGAGGGGGGGCGGGTTCTGGGCCAGACACAGGTTGTTTCAACAACCCTGTTAGATGGACACAATGTCTTCCCTCCCCCACCCAGACTCCGTCTCTCCCCAGGAAGGCCTCAGGGGCACACCTGCAGACCTTCAGCCCGCATTTCCAAGCTCTCCCAACACCAGAGAACAGCTGCCCTTCAGCCACTCCTCAGAGAGGAGGTCTGCTCCCCTCCCCACTTGGAGAGGCCATGGAAGCAGGCTTGGGGCCTTCCGGCAGGGAATCCCATGGGAGTCTGGGGGTGGGGGTGGGGGAGGGGCAGCGTGTATTCTGGGTGGGCAGCCCACTCCCCCTGCAGACACCTAGCCCAGTGGGGAGGAGCACAGCCTGGTGAAGGCCAGAAACCCCCACATACACCTCCTAAACCCCAGGGGAATAAATGCAAAAGGGTTCCTTTGCCCAGGCCTGAAGGCAATACGGACTAAAAGCTTTCTCCATTTTATCCTAACTAGATCAAACTTTTCTTTCCTTGAAGCTTTCTGGGAGGGTGACTTCTTATATTCAAGATTAATAAACTGGTATAAGAGGATTCTTGTCTGGAAGGGATCAGAGTTGAAATGCTTCCGACTATCTGGAAAGATCTAACAGCTAATATCCTGGTCTGGACGAAAAGGTAAATATTCCTCAAACAGCAAATGGATTGAACAGGCTTCTAGAAAGTCAGAAAAGGTGGGATCCTTGCCCTAGGGCATAAGTTGGGGAAACTTAATATTTTGGGTTTTGGAAAATTAAAAGCCAGATGAGTAACTAGTCAACGCAGCTGGGGCAGCCAAGTTCCAGCACTAGGAAGGAGTACACGCTGAGTGGAGCGGAGCAGGGGAGGTTTGGCCCTGCTCCAAACACAAAGGCCTGGCCAAAGGGGGTCACCAAAAGGAGACGGCTGGGGTCACAGTGGGGTGAGTGGCTAGGGCTTGGACGTCAGCCCTAGTACTGACCAGGTATCTGCTTTGTCTTTTCTCAAAGCAAGTTTACCCATTTTCCGGACCTCCCTTTTTAGTTCTCCAGGATGGGGAGGTTACTACCTTTCCAAGTTCTGGCCCAGCGATGCGGTCACAACCGAGCCCAGTCCACACTCGGTGAGCACTCTCTCAACCGTACTTCTTTAAAACTAGGAGCACGGCGGCCAGAACTAGAGCTGCACCCAAAGATGTTCATCAGGCAGCTCCCCACCACCTACCCCAACATCCAAGACGGGGCTCTGAAGAAGCTGGGGGCAGAGGGATGGGGTGAGGGAGGTTTTAGGGAGAGGGGCAAACAAAGCAGACATTGATCCAATGCTACGTCTCAGCCTGTTTTTGGGTAGGGAAGGCGTGCCTTCGAAAGTCGCCCAACTGGAGGGTGCAAAGGACAGGTGCGTAAGGCCCCCAAGCTGCCGGCCTCCGAGCCCCCCCCACCCCCCCGGAAAGGAAGGAGCCGCGCTACACCCCGCGGGCTCCAGGCCTGGAGGGGATCAGAGCGAGGGAAGCGGCCGGGAGCGCGGAAAACGCCGGGCGGGCGGCGTTCGGGGAGGCGCAGGTACTCACCCAGCAGCAGCAGCTTGAACTCGCGGCGCGCGTCCTTCTTGTCCCGGCGAAGCTGCCGCTCGATCTCGGCGCTGATGCGCTGCGACTCCTTCTCCTCCGCCGACAAGCAGCAGCAGCCGGCCATGGTGCGCGCTGCACCCGACGGCGCGACGCGGTCCCGGGCGCCCGGCCGATCTGCCACAGGCACCCGCGCTCGGAAAGAAAAAGACAAGGCCGCCTCGACTTTTGGGGTAAGAAGCCTGGCCGCCTGAGGCTCAGTCCCGACGTCGAAGATGGATTGGAAGGCGGGGGCGAAATCAGAGCCCCAGGAAGAGTCCAGTGCCCTGCAGATCCCGGCTCATCAGGCCCACAGTCGTTCCTGGGGGGGAGGAGGGCCCGCCGAGAGGATGGGAGCGCTGCCGGCACCCGGAAGGTGCGCACGCCCCTTAGCACAGGAGCCAGACACCCAGTCGCCGGGCGCAGACCGCGCGTAAAAAGTTGGGGCGTCGGTGCCCGGGCGGGGGGCGGGGGGCGAGCGGGATCTCCCGGTCCTGGTGGTGTCCCAGGCAGGCGGCAGGCACGGCGTTGGTTGGAGGCAGAGGGCCTAGCTAATCCTTGCCTGGGAAGTTCCGAAAGTGACCGCAGATTAAGACTGAGCGTCAGGGTTCCAGCTGCCGCTCGTGACTCTAAGTGGCAGAAGGAGGCGGAGCGTCTCGGACCTGCAACCCTGGCGTCTGCCCCGTTTGGCCTTCGGGGCGCGCCAAACTGAGGGTGCCTGGGAGCGAAAGGGACCAGCAAGGAGCTGGGGCGCGGATCCCGGGGGCCTGGAGCTCCTGGGAGCAGAGCGCCGCCCCCCGCCCCTCGCCCCCACGTGCCTCCCTGGCCGTGAAGTCCTTGCACCCGGAGGGCCGCCTGCCGAGGTGGCGGTGACCAGCGCGCTCTGGCCGCCGGGCCCTGCTTCCTGCCCAGATAGGGTTCAGACAGGTGAGTGAGTTCCGCCGGCTTCAGCCTCAAGGACTCCCAGCTGCAGGAGTGCTACGGAGCCCAGCGTCCGCCGCGGGACGCACGCCCCAGGGGCAACGAGGAGCTCTCCACCCCCGCCGAAGTTGAAGGCTTGCACACCAGGCACACGACCACACACCCTGGGTTTCCTAGACGGGCTCCCGGGCGCCTCAGCCCAGCCCAGCCCAGCCCAGCTCGGGTTCGGCCTAAGAGCTTGGCCAGCTGGGCAGCCTGCCTGCAAGGTGCGGCCGGACCTGACCCCGCGGGCAGATGCCACGGGGTTCCATTAAATAGGTGAACGCCAGAGCGGAGAGTGCGTATCCTCCCGGGCCCTTCCTCGGGCACCTGGTGAGGAGGGCTGGGGATGGGGGGAATGGAAGACGGCTGGCTACTTTGCATTTAATGAGGGGAAGGACTCGTGCTCTGTAGAGAAGGCTGACACGCTTGCCCGGCACCTGACGGCCGCTGCCTTGCGGGGGTGTGTCCGCACCGACGCCTTGACCCGGCTCCTGGAACGTCGGGGGCCTGTTTGAGCCGCGCAATAAACACTTAGAAAATGAAAAAGCACGTCTTTGTGCTCAAATGCTACCATGGAATGCGTATTACAACATCTGATTTTTGTCTTCGGTGGAGATAGGTTTTGAATCAGAGCGCCGAGAGGCCCACGGGAAAAGCAGAAAGGGGAAGGTGGAGGGAGGGGATCCCGTCGTCCACAGCAATGAGTGTTTTTGCCTTCTCCTCTTCAAGTTACTGTGCGCCGCGTGAACACTTTATGGCGTGAGGCAATCAGCTAATGCCTCCTCTCTTGCGAGCAGGCGTAAGTGCCTTTCATAGGAGTGGCATATATTTCATCAGTTCAAACTGAGGAGCATGTTGAGTGGAAAGAGTGGTATTTGTCATTATATAAGAAACTTGGCATTGTGATGCTCTCTAGCTTCAAGGGCTTATTAGTTATTTTACGGTTTAGAGAATGGGAACGAATCAGGCATTAAAAATGAATGTGCTTACATTCTTAAATGCGCTCTTAACTCGCAGGCAGAAATTAACAGTAATAGTGACCCCTACAGGGAACTTTCTGGACATTTCTCATCTGATCCGTGGCCATGTAATCACACTTTCCTTCCTTGGTTCTTTCAGATAAATTTACAATTTGAGAATAAGACCTCTTAAGAAGCCAAGAGCATCATCATTATTAATACTTTTAAATGATTACAATCATTTGTATTTTAAATGATTAAAATGATTGATTTAAATGATGTAAATGGGCAAATTTGAACTCCACGTCAGCTGGAATGACTGACCTTTTAGGGCCAATGTTGCTAAGATTCTGAAAAAGATTTGAAACCTGTTGCTTCTGGCAAATCTGAAAAATGTTCCTGGGCTGTTGAGCTTGGCAGTAGGTATCAGAAGTGTTAAATGTGTCCACCCCCTTTGCCCAAACTAGTAATTCTCCCCTTGAGAAATAATCAGAGAGAAGTCATGATTTATGTACAAAGGTTTATTTCTAATAAGGACAGTAACCCAAAACAACCTAAATGCCCAACAACAGGAAGTAAGTCAAATAAATTATATATATACATACATACAATGAGATATTATAAGTCATTAAATATTTGAATATGTAACATATATGAATACCAACTAAAGATTTGGAGGGAAACCTTATATTGAGTGAAAAAAGCAAGATACAAAAATATAAACAGTATGATACAAATTTGATTATGGGAATACACATACACACTTTGAAGAGATTAAAGGGGCATCTACCAACAAGGTAAGTTGCTCCAGGTCATGGCTTTTTGGTTGATTAATTCTCTGGTATAAAATTGTTTGGGGGCAGCTCATATAAAGTTATCTAGCCACCCCCCTTTCCTCAACTGTAAAATGAGAGGAATGTACCAGAATAAGCTCAAAGGGATCTCCCAACTCTGACATTCAATTATTTCTTTGGTGATTTTCACACTTAGAAGGTAGTATTAAAAATAATCATAAACCGAAATTTGTTATTGAGCAGTAGTAACTAGTAAGAACTATAAAATGAGGATATCACAAGACAATTATTTTTATTTTTATGCCCATTTTTTATTAACATTTCTATTTTCTTGATCTTTAGGATCTGGGGGCTGGATGAGAATAATTTTAAGTTATTAAATCATTGGCAGCATCTTTCCAGGAAGGGGTAGTTTGGGAAAGAGGCCTTAGTAAAAGAGGGTATTTGTTTTCCTGGGTTATTCCCAAAGTACAACAATTCCATTCCATCCCTGCTGAAGATCAGAGCATAGCGTGGACTTGAGTTTCAGCTACCTGGCAAGTGCTAGGAACATAGATGAACTACATGTCTGGGAGACCTCTGAACGTCCACTGAGTCCATGCCAGACTCTGGACCTGGGCCATTCCAGGTACAATTCCAGACTTCAGATAGGCTAGAAGTCTGGTAGAAAGGAGTTAAGACTGAGGTAAGAGTCTGAACCCATCCCTTCTTGCTCCCTCCCAGAGAGAGGACAGTGAGAGCATGGAGTCACCGGGGGGGCTCTCTGCAGCCCACAGACGTGTGGAGTGGGCCCCTCAGCTAACCTCCTGCTTCAGCTGAGCCTCATTCAGCGTCCATCACTCTCCCGGAACTCCAGGCAAATATAACCACGTGTTCTCCCCACCTCCCGAGTCTTAACGCATGCAGTTTCCTCTGTTTGGTACTTTCTCTCCCAACCGCATCTCCCCAGAGAAACCATCTCCACCCCTTGTCAGGTGGACCCTTCTTTTTCTCCTGCCTGCAAAACCTTCTATGTTCCTCTCTCCAACTTTTTGCTCTGTTACACCTGTTCGATTTTTCTCCTAATTAGTTACCATGTAGGTAGAGAGGTTTTTTTGTTCATCCTCGTATTTCTAAATTAGTAAGATTTAGTCGATTGAATAAAGTTGAAATTAAAAAGAATTTGCCTGATATAAGAAAAAGAAACTAGAAGAGAAAAGGAGGCTCTTGTACTCAAAGACAGTGAAAAAACCAATAAGCACATCCGCAAGAATCCATGTGTCACTTAGGAAACACTTGTGTTTTAGTAAAGTGGCCCCAATTTGCCTGCTTAGAGGGGATGACTGCCCTGTGTTTAATTCAGAATTCCAAGGAAATGTGCGAATAGAAGGCTGGAGAGATGCTGTTCTCTTTGACAAACGTAGCATCTTAGAATTTTAACAAGGAACCTAGAGTAAAAATATGACCTTGAAGTTCACAAAGCTAAAATAGCACTAATACTAATGCACCTCTGCTGCTTGCTGCTCTTTGGGAGTTTTCAAACTGCAATCGTGACCCATCCCTGGGTTATGACCGACCTTTTTTTTTTAAAGAAAAAGAATAGAATAGAAATAGAAAATATCAGTATGCTGCTGTGTGTTACTGTTGCATGAAACTTTTGTTTCAGTTGTATACAAAAGTATTAACTATTTTAAAAAATATTTATTTATTAGAGAGAGCAGAGGGAGGGGCAGAGGGAGGGGGACAGAATCTCGAGCAGACTCCACACTGAGTGTAGAGCCCAATGCGGGGCTCAATGTCAGGACCCTGAGATCATGACCTGAGCCGGATTCTTAACCAACTGAGCTACCCAGGTGCCCCTACATGAGTATTAACTCTTAAGCAGACCAGTTATCAGTAGGGTTTGCTTGTCCATAACCCAGATGGGTGGGTCCAAATGATTCCCAATTTTCTAATTCATTTGTCAGCGTTCCTAATTTTTCATTCAATTTTCTGAGCTCACTGTGTTTTCTGTAATGTTTTAAGTCTTTCTCCCCTCTCTCCACTTGTCCCCTATCCCATCCAATCATCTCCTCTTTCAGATCAGTGCGATAGGTAAGAATCAATGGAGTCATGATGAGTATTTGGATGAATGCATAATAATTATAGCAGGTGGCTGGGTGTACTCAGCATCTATGTTTCTAAGGCAGCCAACATGTCCACATGTTGCTCCAACATATTCTCTGCCTGAAGACCAGAAACTGTTTATTATACCACTTCTTTAAAAAAAAAAGATTTTAATTTATTCATTAGAGAGAGAGAGAAAGCAAGCATGAGTGGGGAGTAGGGGGAGAGGGAGAAGCAGACTCCCCACTGAGCAGGGAGCCCGATATGGGGCTCGATCCCAGGACCCCAGGATCATGACCTGAGCCAAAGGCAGATGCTTAACCATCCGAACCACCCAGGTGCCCCTGTTTATTACATAACTTCTACCCAAAGTCTAGAATTAGTAACAAGGAAGCCTGCCTTCAAACACCATGAGTGGGCAGGATTCACTAGTGTTTGTTTTTGAACCCGACTTTTGGAATGGCAGTTAGGTATCTCAAGAATTTAAGGAGTGGGGCGCCTGGGTGGCTCAGTCATTAAGCATCTGCCTTCGGCTCAGGTCATGATTCCAGGGTCCTGGGATCGAGCCCCTCATTGGGTTCCCTTCTCCGCGGGAAGCCTGCTTCTCCCTCTTCCACTCCCCTTGCTTGTGCTCCCTCTCTGGCTGTCTTTCTCTCTGTCAAATAAATAAAACCTTAAAAAAAAAAAAAAAAAGAATTTAAGGAGTAAAAATCTTTAAGATGAGAAATTCAGAGATTTATATTTTGCTTATTTTCTCTTCCTTTTAGCATGAATGCCTCCCTCCCCTTATATCACTCTCCTCCTGAATAAACCAATGTTAACAACCTAGTATGCTTTCTTCTCTATTTTTTTATACTCTTATAATCTTACATAAGGATAAAAACAGTCGTAAACATATATAAACATTCAGAGGAGTTTGGCATCGTTAGTTTAAACATGAAGATATGGACTCGATAT